GGATTAAAGGAAGGATATTAAATTAGAATTTAACATGCATTTAATGTATTTACCTAAAAGTTGGCAAAATTAGTTTTTGTTTATATAATTAATAAATGTGTTTAATATGTATTCGTTGCAATATATTATAATGTTATAAACATATATTATTTTTAGGATTATTATAGACTCAAACAGAACAATAAATTTTCTATAACATTTCTCTATAATTAGGTGATAATGATGAAATTTTAAATACATTAATTACCTTTTATAATATAATTGTGAGAATAACTTTATTAAAAATGTTTGTAACTTAATTATTAATAATCTACTCTAATTTCATTATATTAATATTATATGTATTTAGTTCTTAATGTTTCCTATATTTTGTTGATGTCAGTTATTGTAAAATGATTTATACTATAATTGTATATGAATTGTCAAATAGAGAATTAAAAAAGATAAATGACTTTTATTCTTGATTGGTGAGATTAGTTAAGGTTTAAAAAATTTAAACAATATTGAGATTGTGATATAAATGTATACATAAAAGTTGATAACTTATAAAAGGTTCATATTAAATGAAACTTTATCAAAATTTTAGTAGAGCTCTAAATGATAAAAATGTTAGAAACACGATACTAATATGTCAAAAAAATAAACTCTATTTTCCTGGGTTCAAGACTTAAAGAGGTTTATAACAATGAGAAAGGATGAGTTGTTACATTTAGTTTTAGCCAAGAGTCTTATAACACCCTCTCAAGGTTCCTTACAATTAACTCTTTATAGGCTTTCCTACTCAGGGTTATTTCTGACTCGATAGCTACTCTAGATATATCTATCATACGTAAAGAATTTTCAAGATGAGAAAAGTAACGAACCTTATAAGATTCTAATATGTAATAGTTGTCTAACTAAGAATCTTAAAGAGAAAGATATACTAAAATTTCTTAAATTAATTTATTTTTTATTAAGATTTTATATTAGTTTAATTGATTTATGTGATCCATCAAACATTTTTTTTTATGTGATGCATCAAACATACTTAAAATGAACAAAATTGACACGCTAAAAATAAAATTGAACGAAAGATAAATGAAAACCCTTTCACTCAAATACTCCTGTTATTCAATTCTTGAATAACGAGGAAACAAGCATCACGTGGCACGCTTACTGCGTGGACACGTCTTGCCGTAAAATACCCACCAAACAGAAAGAGAGAGGGGCGTGGTTGGCGTAGTTTGAACGGCGTTCAAGACGGCATAGTTTTGGTAAACACTTCGCTTTGCGTGTGACGCGCGATGTCTGCCGCCGTTTGTTTGTTTGTCTTCAGTTTGTTCACTTAGTTCCCTAAAACGGCAAAAAAAAGTTAAGACTAGATGACGGCAGCTAACCAACATTTGTGTTTCTTGTCGGCATCCTCTTTCTACTCGTCGCGTGGGGCTGAGATCCCTAGTTTTGCTTTTGAAGCGGTCCAATTACATCTAACGGTGGACAGGTAGTTGCGGTTTGGACACGTGTTGGTTTTTCATGGAGGGGATAAAAATAGGTGTCCACAGGCAGCCGCTATCGAGGACAAAGGCTTGTCGTTCAGATACGGCTTGCTGTCTTTAGGATCGGCACTTTTAAAAGTGTTTTTCTAATTAGAAAAATATTAAAATATTTTTTATTTTTAAAATTTTATTTTCAAAAAAGACGATATAAAAAATTTTAAATATTAAAATTAAAAAAAAAACACGGGCCAAACAGTCTCTTAAACTCTACACACGCAAGGGTGGAAAACCAAACCCTTTCTTGCCCACAAAATTGCTGTCTGCTATCTGGACACCTATTAGATTTTGATTGAAACGGTCCAGATTCCAGGAATAATTTTCTCTGCGTGGATGACAACTGACAAGTCACCCTCCACGCGCATTGCACTATTGTTCTGCGATTTTCTTTCAGTTTTTTATGAGCTGTCCTGCTTTTGTTTTTCGTTTCTGTTCGCTTTTTGTTTTTTGCACTCAATCTAGAAGGAATTGAAAAGCCGATGGTTACAAATCAGCTAAAGCTAACCGGAGACATCTACTCCAATAATATAGGGGCGAGGAAAAAATTAAAAAAACGATTAATTGAGAAAATTTAAAAAAAAATTGAAAAAATTGAACTATAAAAAAATGTTTTAAAGACAACTAAATTTTTTTAAAAAATTAACCAATTTAATTTAATTTTATAAGTATGAAACTAAAAAAAATCTGAATCTATACAGAAAAACCAAAATAACAGAGTCAAATCAGATAAAATAGAGCAAAACCGGTTTAAACTGATTTTTTTTTCAAAATAACCTAATCTAATCAAAACAAGTTGGTTTGAACCAGTTTTGATTTTAAAAAAATTATCTTTGGTTACTTTAAAAAAAAAAATTGAACCGAAAATATTTACATCTAATATAATGAGGTATTTGCTTCTTCTTCTTTTTTTTCTTATAATTTTTTATTTTTAAAATATATTTAAAAAACATAAATAAATAAATACTTGTATTATTTTTATCATTTTCAATATTTATTTTCAAAATTTTGACTATCAATATGTCCATTTTAAAATATTTGATTAATTTTTCTAATTTGAGTTGATATTAAATTTTATTTTTGAAAAAAACCAAAATATAAAAAAATATAAAACAGATAAAAAATAACAAGGGATTAAAATAATGCTAAGTTGCATGGAACCAAATAATTAATAACCACACGATGCTCACCCCCATTTTTTATTTTCTTCAACAAATGTAACTCTAACTATTTTAGATTATGTTTTAAATGTGTGTCCAGTTAAAAAATTAATATTATTTTAATAATTTTGATGTACTAATATCGAAAATAAAAAATAAAAAATATGTTTTAATATATTTTCAAGCAAAAAATATTTTTAAAAAGCAACTTGTACTTCAATATTAAACTTACAATAAACTATTTAATTATCTCATCAAAATAAATATCTCAACTTATTAAAGTTCTATTAAATCCATAATAATTTTTTATAATTTCCATATTTTGTTAATAAATTTCTTAGATTCAAAACCTTCAAGTTGTATTATATATATATTTTTATGAAGATTTTCATTCATAAATGCAATTTTAACATTTATTTTTTAAATTTTATAATCATTATATGCAATTATAGCAAGAAAAAACATTTATAGATTTTAATATAGTTATTGATGAGAATGTTTCATTAAAATCAATCTTTTATCTTTTATTTATAACTTGTGGTAACTAGTCTAGTTTTATTTGTGCCTTACCTTTTTTAAAAACTCACTTTACCTTTTTTAAAAACTCACTTAATACAATGAGTTTGTAGCAAGAAAAAACACTTATGGATTTTAATATAGCTATTGATAAAAATGTTTCATTAAAGTTAGCTTTTTATCCTTATTTATAATTTGTGATAACTAGTCTAGTTTTATTTGTGTTTTGCCTTCCTCTCTTAAAAACTCACTTAATACAATGAGTTTATAGCAAGAAAAAACACTTATAGATTTTAATATAATTATTGATGAGAATGTTTTATTAAAGTCAGCCTTTTATCTTTGTTTATAATTTGTGGTAACCAGTCTAGTTTTATTTATATCTTACTTTTCAATTTTAAAAACTCACTTAATACAATGAGTTTTATTTCTTTAGGTGGATCAACTAAGGTCCACACCTAATTGATGTATATAAAATTAATTTTATATTTTATGAACTCAATCAATTTATTGGAATCAATATTGAATATTTCTTCAATATAATTGATAGACTTATTATGTATGAATAACTCATCATCATTAACTTCCACAAGAAGTTAATATCTCATTAATGCATGACATGTTTTATCATGTATACAAAGTTCTTATATTTCTTGAATTTTAGATTAAATATTTAATATCATAACTTTAGGCTTTGGTTAAATTTGGATGTTTGTTTATAGCCCTCGAACTTTTTTAAGTTTTATTTTTCTTCTCATTATTTTTTTTAATAATAAATTATTTTTTGAGAAAAATAATATATTTTAAGACAAATATCTTTTGCTTAACAAGTTTTAAACGATTCATAATCAAAATGATCACAATATTTTTTTTATATAACTTAATGATCCTCGCTTATTGAGACAAGATAAAAATAATTATATGTATTTTTTTCTCAACTTCTTAACTCAATTTTTGGTTAAAATCAACATATTTGTTATTATTTATAGACACTTATAATTTTTTATTTATTTTATTGAATGCACGTATTAACTTTTTATTTTGTAATAAAAAATAATCTTGTTGAAAAAAATTCAAAAAAATTATATTTTTAGGTTTATTAATAATGCTAAAAAAATTAATCAAGGCTTAAACATATTTTTTTAACATTTTTTTTATGTATTGAATATACAAACTAGTATGAATTATAAAACATGAGGTTGATATACATAATGGTCCTAACAAAATGCCAGAGCAATAATATCATATATTTTAAAATTTCAATAAATATGCACATAAAGCATGATGAAGAGTATGTTCCTGAAATTTCTTAGGTGGTAATGCTTTCTTCAGAGGATTTGCAATCATCATTTCAATATTGATATCATCAATGGATACTTTTTCATGACAAACTCACTCTAACGATAAGATTTTTTAAATCAATATATTTTGACTTATTTTCTTACTTTAATTAAACATGGCTAAAACTATATGTATTTATTTGTTTAAATATGGTTAATAAAATATGCTATTCAATTATTATAATTAACAAACTTATATTTATTAATCTTCAACACATGATTTTAGCATGTGCAAGCGGGCAAAAATAATGTTTAAAGAGATAATAATAGTTATTTTTTAAAATATTGTTTTTTAAAAATATATATATATATATATATATTTAATTTTTTAAAAATTATTTTTAATATCAAAATAATTTAAAAACATAATTTTTTTTATTTTTAACAAAAAAAAATCCAAAATTAATCACTGACAACCAGAAAAAAGAAAGCTATCGAATTTAATCAAAGAGCACTCACTTGCATTCCTGAGGCCAATATTGAAGAGCTTCAGCATCAGTAGTATAACGCATGCTAATGTAGTCCTTCCACTCTAATGCCGTCTCTTTATCAGGCACAAAACTTGTACCGTACCTCACCGATGGGCTAGGGCTCACACCTTGACGGTAGACAGCCTTCTTTTCAGGAGGTTGGCAGAAGAAATTGTTTGCAGCATCCTTAAGTGACTCGAGCAGCTCCACAGGCACACCATGATTCGTCACAAGTAACAGCCTTTTAGAGCATGATTTGGGACCATGGCTCATGATCTACAAGTCATGGTCCATTAGTTATCTCCAAGGTCAGCTATCTTTGCTTGGGTCAATTTTAAAAGGTTTTCTTCTTGTCGTGATAAAAGCCTATCCATCTATCTACAAATATACCAAAAGAAGGGCTTTTATGGATATTAAAAGTGAAGTTTGTGGCCAATTTTGCATTTCTATTTTATTTTTAATTTTCAAAATAATTATAATAAACAAACATTGAAAAGATGAATACAACAAGGATATTTTTTTTCTTCTAAAATTCTCAGCTCAAAATATTATTTTACCAAAAACTTTATTCCTTAAAAATGAAATATTACCCTAAAACTAAATGCACTTAAAATTTCATTTCAAACTTCAATAAAAAAAAAACCTAGCACAATGTTGAAGCCAACAATATAATTCGATACACTACCATAAAATTAAGAAAAAATTATCTTAATCAAGTGGAAGATAAATTTTGTAATTTTTATATTAATCTTAACAAATAAGCTCCAATCCCTTATAAGAAAAATTAAATGTAAAATTAAAGTTTAAATAAGTAAAATTAGATGTCAAAGTTTAATAAAATTAAAATTAATTTGTGTTCATGCTGAATATAAAAATATAAAGCTCAAACTCAATTTATATAGAATCTATTTGATGCTGTGATAACTTATATTTTTCAAAGTGTTTTAAATTGTTTTTACTTAAATTGATGATTATCAATGTTTTTTTAATAGTTTTGATATACTGATATTAAAAATATTTTTTTTTCTAAAAACATCACATTACCAAATACACTTAAAATTTGTTAGATTTAAGCTTTGGTGAGGCTTGTCTCGAGGTTGCTCGTTTAGATGACTTAATACGCCTATGCTAGGTTAAAATTTTTAATATAGTTATAACAACATAAACTAATGTGAATATAAAAATTTGAAGTTAATAAAATAAGCAAAAATAACTACAAATCTTGTTTATTTTTCATCATTACAAGTTTTTATGATAATTATAAGTATGATAATTATTAACAAAAAAGTAAAAAAAAAAAGGTGTTTTTACTATGTATCATCTCCCAAAATACTATTCACTATAATATTTTTTATTGCCTTTTTTTAAATATTTTTTTTATATCTTTTATCTTTTATCATTTGATTTATTAGATAGCATCATCTCACAAAATATTATTCATTGTAATAATGTCTTTTTTTTCCTTTGATTATTATTCATTGTAATAATGTCTTTTTTTCCTTTGATTTTTTTATTTTATCTTTCAATATTTAATTTAATGGAGAACTTAAATCAACTTAATAATTTCTATATTATTATTTTAGTTTCTTAACTTAAGTTGTGGGTTTGACAAGTTAACCTAAACTGAATAAGATCATCGTTTTGATTTACTTTAATTGAGGTTATTTCAGTTTCATAACCTAGATCATGGATTTAACAGATTAGCCTGAGTTGACTCAGATTGGTTTTTTATATTTTTTTCTTAGATTTTTTTTTAATTTCATCATTCAACATTGGGTTAATTAGTAATTATGCTTTATAATTTGTTTAATTTATTTTATATAAGGTTATCATGATCTCATGATCTGGATTATGACTTTGACAGGTTGACTCGAGTTAGAAGTAATCTAATATGTTTAGGAATTAGAGGATTTGATTGTTTTTCATGACTAGATTAATGTTTGAAAAATATATATCAGAGAAAATAAACAATGAGTAAAGTATCAATTTGAGGTAAAATAAAGAAAAAGCTTCCCTCTCATGTTAGCTATAGGTTCATGAAGTATATATAATAGGAGAGGGAGATTAGTTTTCTAAATTAGTATATAAATTATATTATAAATTGTTTTAATACCTAACAACAATGAACATAAAATTTTATAAAAAACAAAAAAGAACTCATGTTTTTTTTTTTTTGTATATTACATCTATTGCATCATAAAAAGAGAGGAATGAAATCATGTGGAATATGTGTGAAATCATCACGGAAATGTGGTTTAAACTTAAATTATGTTCAATTTATATTAAATTACAAAAGAAAAGAATAAAAATTGATACATGTTTACGGAAAATAATCAAAAGGTTTTACTTAGTGAATTTTGTGTAGGGGTTCATATATTTTGAAAAAAAAATTAATGAAGATGACATTATCTTGTATTGCTAGGGAATACTACTGCAAACAAGCTACAATTTAGAGCAAGAGCTAAGATATTACCTGCTATAGATAAACATTTAACTTCTATCATAGTTAATTAATGTACCATCAAAACTACTTATGTAATTTTTTATATCCTATTAAATAACAATATAAAATACATGATTTGATAGATAAATATTATTAGTCATTCCTAGAATTGGAAGACTAGTGATATCAATAAGAGTCATTGATGTTGACATTACTTTAATTTGATTAGTTGTTCTTGGGATCGAGAAGCTAATGACATCAATGAGAGTTATTGATATCAACATTACCTTAATTTGATTATTTATTTTCAGGATTGAGAGACTAATGATATTAATGGTAGTCATTAATGTTGACATTACCTGAACTTGATTAGTTATTCTCAAAATTGAAAGATCAATGATATTAATAATAGTCATTGAAATTAATATTAACTAAACTTGATTGATAATTTTTGAAATATGAAAGATTATTGATAATAATTGATATCGACATAAACTAAACTTGTTTAGTTGTTTTTAAAAATGAAAAACTAATGATATCAATGATAGTTATTATTATTGACATATTTTAATCGAATCATGTTCAAAATAATGATTAGAAATATCAATTTGTAACTGATATAGGCCCGCTTAGGGGACTTAAGTAATTGAAGAATTAATTGTTTTATCTTAAATTGTTTTGAGTCAAATTATATTTTTACTGGTTGTTTGGGTTGCTTTTAGACCCACCAAGTTAACTAGGTCACATCATATCAACCCTCACTTGATTTTAATTTTTTTTCCTACAAGAAAAAAACTTTAGTAATGCCTACATTTTTTTTATATAATAGAAAAATTTTATCTGACTTGTAACACAGCTCAAACCAATGATCTAGTAATAAAAAAAAAAACTAAAATAAATAGAGCTTTTACTGTTGATTTATTATGTGCACCGTTTTACATTTTCTTCTTCACCTTATTGTTCAGAGCTACCCTTTTCTTCTAGGTACTTGCACGCATTTTTTTTTTTTGCTTTGATAATTGATTTTTTTTTTAATTTCATCATTGCAAATCATGTTAACATGAATTGATGTATTGAGATTTGTTTTGGTTTGCATGCTCTTGCATACCCAATATGACATGGAATATTCTGAATTTAAATCAAAGATCAATTTTATAAAATTAAAAGTTATTTTTAAAACAAGAATTAAAATAATGAGAAATTAAATTAATATTAAAAAAATTAGATACCTTTTCCATTTATACTATTCAAAAGTCATGAAAAAAACTAAATTTCATCCCTCAAGTTTTACTTTTTACATATTTAGTTATGTTCTTCAAGGTATTTATAATTCAGTCATAAATTTAATTTTTTTTATGTTTTAGTACTTGGATGTTGAGAAAAGTAGAAGTAAAAGAGATAGACGAGATAAAGTATTCAACCAACCATATTATGAACATAAAAGATCAATCTTTGTGACAATAATAGGAGTTTAATGGAGGAATGTAAATCCTTGATTAAAATAAAAGTTAAATAAAATGACAACAGAACAAATGTGGCAATGAAGATTATTTTAGAAATGAAGTTTTAAAGATTAGAATTTCTGAATGCGATTTATTTTTAACATTAATGAGACAAGATAACTGGTAAAAAAAAACACTTGAATTTAATAGAAAAGAGCATAGTTGTAAATTATAGTACATGAGTAATATAAATACACTCTTGGCTTTTTCAAGAATCCAAGAGTGACTAACCATTAAGGAGAAGAAAGAGGGGGAAGGTGTTTATCAAATTTATTTATTTTTCCTTTAAAAATCCCAACAAAGACTTGAAATAAAAGATATATATAAAAAAGGTTATATGATATTTAGCTAGGAAAGAGAAGGAAAAACTATGAAAATGGTTGCTTGAGAGGAGATGGTTTGGAGAAGATAAGAAGAGACAGGAAAAGAAAGAAAGAAAATTTATTTTCTTGCTATTTTTCTCTTAAGAAATTATGGTTAAGAGACAAGGAACCCTAATCAAAGCTTAGTTTAAAGTTTAACATGAATTTTATTGGTTATGTATTGTTTTGCATTATGAAAAAATTGAATTAGAGGATTTGATTGTTTTTCATGACTAGATTAATGTTTGAAAAATGTATATCAGAGAAAATAAACAATGAGTAAAGTATCAATTTGAGGTAAAATAAAGAAAAAGCTTCCCTCTCATGTTAGCTATAGGTTCATGAAGTATATATAATAGGAGAGGGAGATTAGTTTTCTAAATTAGTATATAAATTATATTGTAGATTGTTTTAATACCTAACAACGGTGAACAAATTTTTTTATGAAAAACAAAAAAGAACTCATGGTTTTTTTTTTTTGTATATTTCAGCTATTGCATCATAAAAAGAGAGGAATGAAATCATGTGGAATATGTGTGAAATCATCACGGAAATGTGGTTTAAACTTAAATTATGTTCAATTTATATTAAATTACAAAAGAAAAGAATAAAAATTGATACATGTTTACGGAAAATAATCAAAAGGTTTTACTTAGTGAATTTTGTGTAGGGGTTCATATATTTTGAAAAAAAAAATTAATGAAGATGAAATTATCTTTTATTGCTAGGAATACAACTGTAAACAAGTTACAATTTAGAGCAGGAGTTGGGATATCACCTGCTACAGATAAACATTTAACTTCTATCATAGTTAATTAATGTACCATCAAAACTACTTATGTAATTTTTTATATCCTATTAAATAACAATATAAAATACATGATTTGATAGATAAATATTATTAGTCATTCCTAGAATTGGAAGACTAGTGATATCAATAAGAGTCATTGATGTTGACATTACTTTAATTTGATTAGTTGTTCTTGGGATCGAGAAGCTAATGACATCAATGAGAGTTATTGATATCAACATTACCTTAATTTGATTATTTATTTTCAGGATTGAGAGACTAATGATATTAACGGTAGTCATTAATGTTGACATTACTTGAACTTGATTAGTTATTCTCAAAATTGAAAGATGAATGATATTAATAATAGTCATTGAAATTAATATTAACTAAACTTGATTGATAGTTTTTGAAATATGAAGGACTATTGATAATAATTGATATTGACATAAACTAAACTTGTTTAGTTGTTTTTGAAAATGAAAAACTAATGATATCAATGATAGTTATTATTATTGACATATTTTAATCGAATCATGTTCAAAATAATGATTAGAAATATCAATTTGTAACTGATATAAGTCCCTTTATAGGACTTAAGTAATTGAAGAATTAATTGTTTTATGATAGTTGATGTAAGTACCGGAAATAAAGATTATTAGAAAATAAAAAAGAATTTATTTGTAATCTTAAATGTATTTAACCATTCACTTGATTATTTTTCTAAATAATGTATTCAATGTTGCATTTTGTTTCAGGATCATCACAATTATGAAAAGAGTAGATTCATTCAACGTCGTTTGATCATATAGACTAGACATACATTTTAAATTATAAATTATTTTATTTTAGCATGTAAATATAAGTGTCTATATTTTGTTATTGTAGTTACTTAAACTAAATGTTCATGCACGCTGAATTTTATATTGAAGTGTAAAGTATTAAAATTATTGCATTACATAACCTTATTTTGTTTAATGTTGTTTGAATGAATAGAAATAATTTTAATTTATACAGTTTATACGATCCAAAAATAATGAACCAATGATTTAATTTGTGCATGCATAATAATAGAGTTTAAGTTGATAACTTAAAACTACGTGTTATAAAGAAAACTCTATTGAAATTTTAATAGAAATTGCGACAAAAAATCATATATTTAAAATATTATTTTTTAAAATTTATTTTTATAATAACATATTAAAACAATATAAAAATATAGAATAAAATTAATTTAAAATAAAAAAATTAATTTTTTTAAAATACTTTTCAAATGAAAAAAGCAAACACTCTTAGCATATAGAAGTGTCTAATTTAGTATGTAAAATATTAAAAGTTATATAAATAATGTGATGTAAAGTGATTAATTTATACAAAGTGTAATAAATATAAAAATGATTATATTAATTTTTATTTCATTAAAAATAAAATTTGGAAAGCACTTCACAGTAGTGCTCAAATAAAATAGCTAGTTGTTCAACTAAAAAGTTATATATATATATATATATAAAAAAAAAAAGTAACTAATGAGAAATATAAATAATAAACATGACGACACATACCTCCAAGTAACCTCGAATAACTGTAGCAATCGCTCTCAAGTCTAGCCTTGGAAAATGCCCATGCCCATGTCCATGCCCCTGCTCCTGCCCTCGCCATTTTGCTTTTCTTTTTTATGTTCTAAGAATATGATTTCCTTGCATCAAAATAAACCAATCAACTAAAAACATGACAATGCCTATCGTATTCCGATCGTTGAAAATCATTTGCCGGCAAAACACCCACCGGAAATTCAAATTTGAATTCCCAATAAAACCCACAAAAACCCTTGTCTACTACACTCACAATCTTCAATTCCAGAATACTCAAAATCACTTTCAAAATTCCATATTTCAATCAAAAACTTCTCGCTCTATTCACTCGCTTGAAAATTCTCACTCTCTCGCTGAAAAACAGCAAGACGCTGATAGTGAACTAGCAATTAGAGTACAAAACACCCTCAAGAAATATAGAGACGGCCCAGTGAGGAAGATTGAGCTCGCTCTTGACCTGTGCTGCTCCACAATGACACAAGACTTAGTTTTAAAGGTACTAAAGAGGCACCGCTCTGATTGGAAACCAGCTTATATATTCTTTAATTGGGTTTCTAAAGAAGGTACAATTTCACTTAGCTCTTGTGTTTACAATGAGATTCTTGATATTCTTGGTAGAATGAGAAGGTTTGAAGAATTCAAACTGGTGCTCGACGAAATGTCTAAAAGAGAGGGATTTGTTGACGAGGACACCTATAGGGTTTTGGTTAATAGATATGCCGGTGCACATATGGTGGAAGAGGCAATTGGGGCCTTTAATAAGAGGAGAGAGTTTGGTCTAGAACTTGATCTGGTTTCTTTCCAAAAGCTTTTGATGTATTTGTGTAGGTATAAACATGTAGATGTAGCGGAAACTTTGCTGCATAGCAAGGGGCATGAGTTTGGTATCGATATGAAGACCATGAATATTGTTCTAAATGGGTGGTGTGTGCTGGGAAATGTTCGAGAGGCAAAGAGGTTTTGGAAAGATATAATTGCCTCTAAATGCAAGCCGGATGTGTTTACTTATGGAACTTTTATAAAGGCGTTGACGAACAAGGGAAAATTAGGGACGGCAATGAAGTTGTATGAGGCAATGTGGGAGATGCAATGCAAGCCAGATGTGGTGATTTGTAATTGTGTGATTGATGCACTATGCTTCAAGAAGAGGGTTCCTGAAGCTTTGGCTGTTTTTGAGGGAATGAAAGAGCGAGGTTGCCTTCCCAATGTAGCGACCTACAACTCTCTTATCAAGCATATGTGCAAGATTGGGAGGATGGAGAAGGTGTATGAGCTTTTGGATGAAATGCAGGAGAAGAAAGGCAGTTGTATGCCCGATGAGATAACTTTCAATTACCTGCTAAAGTCATTGAAGAAACCTGAGGAAGTTGCTGGTGTTCTCGAGAAGATGACGTTAAATGGATGCAAGATGAATAACGATACTTATAATTTGTTATTGAAATTGCATGCGGATTGGGATTCTGAGGAAAAAGTAAGATATACTTGGGAGGAGATGGAGAAAAATGGGCTGGGACAGGATCGGCGATCCTACACTATTATGATACACTGGCTCTATGAAAAGGGAAGGTTTGAGGATGCGTTACGTTATTTTGGTGAGATGGAAAATAAGGGAATGGTGCCAGAGCCCAGGACTAAGATATTGTGCAATTCCATGAATACGAGGAAACAGAAAGAAGCGGAAGAAGGGGGAAAAAGTGCAAGGAATAATGATCAATCGCCAAGGTCTTCCCATGAAAGAAATACGAAGAAAAAAGTCAATTCGGTTCAATTTTAAAGTGCATGGGAAGATATATGAAGAAAAAAGTCAACTCGGTTCAATTTTACAGTTTTGTCACGAGACAAAAAGTCAATTCGGTTCAATTTTAAAGTTGTCATGAGGCTGAATTCTTGAGGACGGTGAGCTCTGCTTCTGTTTAAGGATTCTGTAGTGCCATATGTTAATTGTCTATCTTGTTTTGCGTCATGGATAATGATGAAATTAGAACTACAATCACAAAAAGTTCTTGAATTTTAGACTGCAAAAGCTCTTGAATTTTGAAGCAAGTGAATCCCTGCGCTTTCCTTGAGAAGGTGAACTCATTTTCTGACAAAAAAGGAAGTGAATACCTAACTGATACTAAAAAAATAGCAAATATCTTCACAAACACCCATGCATGAAAAAAAAGAAAAGAAACAAAGCAAATATCTTCATTATATAACAAAGATATGAATTCTTGACTGATGCTAAAAGAACAAAACATGAATCCTCATGAGCACCCGTGCAAGAAGTTTCAGTCGCAAAACTCAGGAGGATGATTATTTTTCTGCATCATTTATGTTTTAACTCATGTATTTATAAGGAGAATAAACTCATGTAAATATTTAAAAAATGATAAGACATATATAAATCAGCTCAGATTACACATCATTTATGTTTTAACTCATGTATTTACAAGGAAAATAAACTCATGTATAATTGCATATTAAAAAAATGATAAGACATATATAAGTCAGCTCCTATGAATTTAAGCTCAGATTACAAAAAATCACATCAAGATATAGTTATTTTCCTCGACAAATAAGTTATTTACCATTGCAATCTCTACATTCTCATCTTAGCCCTTATAGCTCCTATTGGAAAATTGTTCATCGCGTGGAATGCAATAAACACAGAGATGACCAGTTAAGGCAAGGCAATGAAATTGACCAGTGTGAACTTACGAATATTTGTCAGAAGATATTGCAAGAAAGCAAATTTCATCACATTTGGCACGTCAAACTCATCAGCAATATGGCAAATATGCAAAGGAGTTTGAGAGGACAACAATACTTGTTTTCCTTGTGTAACCCACACGTACTAAAGTAATCATAGTGATTAATATGTTAGTAATTAGCAAACCACACAAATCACATCATGATGAATTATCTCAATGCCTTCACATTTTCTTCTTTCGCGCCTTTGTTGAGCGAAACAAAATTTGAATAATAATACTACTAAAAATAAATATTATCATTGTTTTTATTATTATTATATTATTATTATTGTTATTATTAATATTATTATTACTACTACTATTATCATCACTACTACAATAAATATTATCGCTACTACCATTATCATCACCACCACCATTATTATTATTATTATTATTACTACTACTACTACTATTATTACCATCATGATTACTATTATTTCTATTATAAATAATATTACAACAATAATCACCATCATCATCATCACTATTACTGTCATAATAAATTATTATTATTACCACTATTATTAACATTATAATTCACTATTAGTAATATTATTAAAAATATTTTTAGTATTATTATCATTATTACTGTTATTATTATTGTTGTTGTTGTTGTTATTGTTGTTAAAATAATAAAAACCATAAATTTCTTTTGAAGGATAAGATTATAAATCATAAAAACATTGACAAAATAAAAAATAAAACAAATGAAAAAGGACCAAACTAAAATAAATATTATTACTATTGAAAAAAATCATAAATTTGATTTGAAGGGTAAAATTAAAAGCTATTAAATTTTTGATAAAAGAGTGAAGGGAAAACATAAGAATCAAAAGTAGAAGACTCAATAAAAAAAATATCATATACACAAATTAGAATTGAAGAACTAAATTGTAAACAAATAAAATTCTAATAAAAGAGAAAATAACCAAAATAAAAAATAAAAACTAAAAGGATGGATTCTGAAACACCAACAAAAAATAAAGATTGATTTATGAGGACTAAAACTATAAAAGGATAAAAACAAAATAAGAAATTAAAAGAATGAGGACTAAAATGAAAAAAAAACATATGAGAAATTCTAATTGAAAAATAAAACTAAAAACAAAAACTTCTATAAAAGGAATAAGGATGAAATAAGAAATTCAAAAAATGAGGACTGAAATTGAAAAACAACAAACAAAGAGGACAATTGTATACTTTAGTTGTTAGGAGAGAGAAAAGAAAAGAAAAAAACAATCGATCACTGGTGGCAATTCAAACATTATAAGCCTACACACGCTACACTATATGGAAGAGAACACAACTGCATATCCAAGAAGACAACGAATGATGAGATTTATCTATTGGGTGGTGTAACACGCTACACCTTATGGAAGAGGATACAACTACATGTCTAGAGAGATAATGGATGACCAGATTTAGCTATTGGGTGGTGTCACACGCTCCACCTAAATAGCGCCGTGTCACCCACTTGTTGAAACATATGAAACATGCGCTAATAATTTTTTAATTAAAAAATTTAAAAATTTAAAAATACCAAAATATCCCCCATGACTCTTTTAATTATATAAAATATCTATGTAAAAATACCAAAATATCCTAAAAAATAAAGTTTTTTTTTTTTTTTTATCTTTTCTATTGTTAAAAACATTCTTTCGTTGTATATGAAAAGTGGAAAAACTTGAAACATCCTTGTCTGGTAGCTCAATATTTTTTTAATTTAGGGGCAAAAAAGTATTTTTGCTTAAACTTGTGAAAAGTCAAGAAAATTCTTGGTAAATAATTCTAAATTGTGTTGATGAAGAGATAAAAGAGTATTTTTATTATATTAAAAAATTAAAAAGGCACATACACTTTCAAATAATTTTTTAAAAACAATTCAAAGAGAAAAAAGAACCAAAAAACCCTAGCTTAAGGCTTGAATTTTCTTCACTAAAGGATATAAAGAATAAGTTCATTATAACAATTCACATTAATATTAATCTATATGTTGAGCTACAGCAAAGCATGATTTAGCTTTTCTTTTAACATGCAAGCACTTTTTTTTTCTAGACAAACCACTAAAGTAGCTTCTAATCCATGCTCGTCTGTTTTTGTTTGCAAGGCACTGCAATTTATTTATTTCAAATAAATAAACGAACAAATACCTAATTTCTATAAATAAACAACTCCATAAATAATTAGCTATAAAAATAATAAAATACTAGTAACATAACGGGTGATGTCTGAAGGGAAAACAATCAAGGAACTCCTTGGCTGCGACGTCGTTTTGGAAGCCTGGATTATGTTTTAAGGAAAAAAGAAAAAATAACTGAAGTATTAAAATTAGAGGTGATTATTCTTTGTTCGATTTAATTTTTATAAAAAAAATAATTAAATCAAATTATTTTAAAAAATAGAAACTGAACTAAAATTGGGTCAAACCGATCGGTTTTGGTTTAGTTTTTTAAGAAAAAAATGGTTTGATTTGGTTTTCTGGTTTTGACTCGGTTTTTTTGGTTTTTCAGTTTAGATTCAGTTCAGTTCGATTTTTAAATGTTAGCTTGATCACAATATGGCCCCTTTATCAATTTAGAGAATCAATTTCACTCTTAATACTACTAAATATTAAAAAGAAAACCTTGACCAAGTCTCTAAAATTATACATCTGAAATTCTAAATTTATTTTCTAAATTCCTAAATAAATAAATAAAACAATTATAAAGTGTGGAATGATAGCCCAATATAGAGGTTATAAATTGTTATTAAATATCACTATTGATAGCATGATAGGACACCTTGGCATCTTCTCTTTGTGATTTTAATTTTAGTCATGGGATTCGAGTCTTATTATTTTCCTTTTAGTTTGTTAAGTTTCATTATAAACTTTCACAACTTTGATCCTAATTTTTAATATCAAATACAAAATAGTTCTTAAAGTTCCTTGAGAAAACTATATTTAACACCTTATCATTTGGTTTGTTGTTAATTACACTTTCCCCTTTCAAATCGGGTAAAATATTTATTTTATCCTTATATATAACTACTAAGAATAAAATGTAAATTATTTAAGAAGATGTAGAATATTATTCAAGTATCAAATTAAAGGAGACAAAGTGTAATTTTTCAAACTATAAAAGCAAAAGCAAAGTATAACTCACATCAAATAATAGAATATTAAATATAATTTTTTTAAAATTTTAAGATATACAAAAAGATATATTAGTGATATCATATTATTTATCTTTTAAAATTTATTTTGAAGAAAGAGATACATATTAGCGAAAGAGAGAACATAAAAGTCATGATCTGTAATAAAAAATATAAAAATATACCCCCTTAATATTTCTCTCTCTCCCTCTTACTTGGATCTATTTATTTTGCAAAATAAATCCTAAAAAATAACTATCATGATTACCTTGAAATTTCTTGGTGTTTTACTACTAATCACATATGTTTGCTCATTTAATCGTGTCCGGTTAATACATACCATCATCACTTGGGCTTAGATGCTCAACAAGCTGGCCCATAAAATAGAAGTGAACGAAATTACTAGCAAAGCTCATAATTTGCTTTTTCTTGCATTTCACCGTTTTCTGTAATATCTTATTTATTTTTGTATTTTAAAATTATTTTTTAAAAAATTAAATTTTTTTATTGTTTTATTTACTTTAAATTAATATTTTTTTTGATATTTTTAAATTATTTTGATGTGCTGTATCAAAAATTAATTTAGTATTAAAAAATAATTTTTAAAAATAAAAAAATTATTTTAATATATTTTTAAATAAAAAACATTTTAAAAAATAACAACTATATTTTCTTCAGTAAACTGAACAGCCAAAGATGTCCATTTGTCAGCAATGCATATTACAACAACTATATTCTGGTCAGTAAACTGAACAGCCGAAGATGTCCATTTGTCAGCAATGCATATTATCATAAATCATGATGCCATCCCATCTGATTCTTCCTTACGACTTCACTGCAAAAGCAAATAATGAAACTCACAAAAAAAAATCAAAGAAAATCTGCAGGGGTGCAGCGTATATTTCCAATGCTTGAATATAAGACAACCTATACTTTCAAACTCATAATTCCCTTCTTCTTATGCTGATCCCAGCTTTTTTGTTCTTCTGGCATTTTGATGCTTGGATGTTTCTGCCTTAACCCTTCTTTCACAGCCAAATTATCTCTCCATCAGAGACTGGCATAGCCCAAATACATTATGCGTCCAAAATCTGCACCAATTGATGGGCGTAGCGTGCTATGCCATTTCCATGCACAAATTGTACCCGAATCCACAGGTCCCTACAGAGCCCAAAATGTTATGCTGCTGATTGCGTTGCCCATCATGCACAGATCACTTGCCTTATTTCAACTTTAAGGTTAAAAATATGCTGACCATGCTCATCATCACAAGCCACAAGCCATTCATCATTGAGCGTTTTCGATGCAGTTACTTGGTCCCAAACAAATTTGAACAAATGTGACTCAGTGTGGCTTTCACAGCTAGGTAGCATCTGTAACTTTGTGTGCATTGCAACTATAGCTGTCTTCAACACAATCACTTGTGTCCTCTCTTGGTTTATCCAATCTGTGGCTGAGGCAAAGTATGTGATCATAACTAGCCTATGGTACATTTGGAGAACAAATTGGAAGTGGTCGAGAGCATCCCTATCCTTGCTATGTGTTTTTTTTTAACGAAATAGTCACATGTTTTCTATTGCAAAAATTGTAAGGTTTAAAGAGGGAATATTATACTTGGAGTCATAGGTTGATAGATATCCATTGGAAATGATTTTATATGTTTTTTTTAAAGTAATAGAGAAATTAAAGAATTAAAAAAAAGATGAGGATCCAGCAAGTATAGGCCTTCAAAATCTAGTCTTATAATGAGTATTATAGTTGTATTTCAGTGTAAGTTTTTTTATTTGATAGGTCATTTTTTCAAATCAAAATTGTATATTTAGAGTTATGATGATTGGAAGTAGATCACTTGAATTTATATTATTTGGGTTTATAAGAAAGTAAAATCTTTGAAGCTTATTTTTAGTTAATTTAAGAATATGATTCCCTTCAAATTATTTATGACCCTAAAGTTTATTGTTTCTGCTTAAATGATATTAAAGAGTTGTAGTGTGTTTTAATATATCTTTTTAATATTTTTTATGAATTTATAAAATAATTATTTATAATTGTAGAAACATGTAGTGGTCAATAACCGAAACTTGTTTTGGAGAGTGAACTTTTATAATTTGATTTTAAACCTTTCCATATACTAAAATTAATTGATTTTTATGTAGAATTTTAATACATGTAAGGTGTTTCATAAAAAAGTTTTATTTCTATATGAATGAATTTATTTACTTAATAAATAGTTTCTAAAAATGGTCTTAGTTAAGATACTCCCTTTTTAATCATGCTTATAATACTTCTTTACTTTAAATTAAAGCATTTTTTTTATCATTTTCTGATTATATTTTATATTATTATTATTTTTGGACCATGTCTATAAGGGTTATACTTTGATTTTTATAAACATGTTTATTTCAAATTTAATACCTAATTATAAGAAAAAAATATAACCCATTATTACCATGATTAGAGTAACCATATGTTTTAAACCCGATTTTTGGCTATACATATCTATCAAAAAAGTTTTTTCTTAGAATTTTATGCTTAATCATAGAAAAAAATATAACTTATTATTATTGTGGCTAGAGTAGCTGTTTGCTTTGGACTCCAGAATATTCATTGACAGCTATAAATATATTTATTTAAAATTTGATATTTATTTATAAAATAAAATATTATTATTTTGATTAGAGTAACGGTTACCTTGTCTTCGGTTTTTAAAGGTTATATATTGGTATCTATAAATATATTTATTTAAAATTTAATATTTAAAATATAACCTATTATTATTATAGTTGAAGTAATCAGAATTCTGTAACTCTAAATTTAATTAGAATGCGCATTCAATGCATGCTCAGTCGAGCACGTGCGTATTTTCTATCACAGGATCACGGCGTTAAAAAAATGCTGTCAAGTGGATAATGTTCATATAACATCTCTCTTCAACTCAACAATTAAAAAAACACAATAATCCTTGCACTCATAAGGACTGTTAAAGTGGGCTTTAATAGCAGGAGGTACCCGAGTGGTTCATAGCGATAAAAACTGTCATGAATCCCTGAGTAAATTTCTTCCAGCTTTTGCACTTCTTCACACTCTCTTGTCAGCTTCCTAACAACTTCTCTACAACATAAACACAACCTCATTTTGTTTACAAACATCACCCATAAAGTCCCACGACTTTCACATAGGACTTGTTTTGCTGGTTTCCAGCCCCGACATACTCGTTCTCCAGCAAAGAAATAGCCATCTCATCTGTAACACAGAAGCTTGTCTATCTTTGCGGATTTAGAACCGGGTCAGCAATATAAAAAACGCGTGCATTTTGTAGATGATAGTTCCTTTTAAGATCATAATTTGCACAAACAATCCGAATCCCTATTATCGCATTTTTCTTGAAACAAAAGAAAATGTCTTGTAAAAGACACCAACATGTTGACCTTGCATCCAGGGATCCATGAATGGGAGATCCACTTATTTAGTTAGATCCCTCAAGAACAAGAAAACCTTAGGATATGTGTGTGTGTGTACACGCTACTGTTGCTATATGAAAAATCCGAGTAAAAATGATATCGTAGTGACAGATTAAAGTTTAAATCAGAACAATTTCATTTTGCTGCTTCTTTCCTCTTTCCTTCCGAGTACAGCAAATACAAACGGAGGCATGCTGCACTATTAACTTGTTAGCTAGAAGAAGTACCAAATTCTCACCCTGCAGTTGGCCCTTCACCTACGCTTATGTAAGTTTTATGCTGACAGAACAGAAACAATGTCACAGGTGCATTAAACTTGTCCCTTCTACAAGTAGGGTTATGGCATCAGTATTCTCATAGTCCCTTCATAGACCAGAACCCATGTGTGAAAGGTGAACTCCAATGTACCAACAACACCCCCACTACTCAACTACCTATTTAATGTCCTTTCCCCTCGTATTCATTGCAAGAAAATAACAGTGTAATCTGGCGTAATCTAGTTATGGTTTTTCTTCTTTGATCATCAGGCATCCCTTTACCTAGAAAACATAACATGGTTTTCCAATTAATCACATTACCTACCCCATAAATAAGTTACCATGATCCTCTATATCAGCATCACATATCGAAATGCAAGGCTTCGACTTCATCAAGAATTACAACAAGCAAACACTTGCCTGACTTAATCCAACACAATGATTAAAAATTAATAGAACAAAGCTACTAGCCGTTGTTGATACAGAAAGAAACAGTAGAAAACTTTCGTAGAGAACATAACATTACACATAACGGGCCGTATCGAAATGCAAGGCTTCGACTTCATACTTCATCAAGAATCACAACAAGCAAAACACTTGCCTGACTTGATCCAACACAATGATTAAAAATTAATAGAACAAAGCTACTAGCCGTTGTTGATACAGAAAGAAACAGTAGAAAACTTTCGTAGAGAATATAACATTACAGATAACGGGCCATTACATAGTCATTTTAATTCCATTATATTCCAAATTAAAAGCATAGATAGTCATCATACATTAACCAGAAAATCCTAGTGATACTGAATACCTGATACGTAACAACAAGATATACAAATATCCTGCCCTAATATCAGTCCAGTTGGCACAACCAGAAACCCGAATAATACAGAAATCTGAATAGTACCAGAGAATCATTGAAGAACAAAGATTGAAGATAATTTAGTAGCTATCATAGAAGGGGTGCACATATGCCTTTTCAACTCAATAAGTCCACATGCAGTCAAGCTCGGTAGGACCCATTGCCACCCTTCCGCCAGCTCCAATACCAGCACCGGTACCATCAACCCTTCCATCTTCAGGGTTCACCATCCAATTCATTGCAGCACCACCGCCATGAAAAGGTGGTACTGCCGCGGCAGAGGGTTGGGAGGAAAAAAAGAAAGGCAGCTGAAGATTTTCCTGAAGAGACCTCAAACTTGGGAAACCATTGGCACCGGTGTTTCTTGGGAATCTTGAGAATGAATCGATCATTGGAGGTGGAGGCAGTGGAGCAAGATCAAAGTTATTACTGTTATGCTTGGCAGCGGCGGAAGCAGCAGCTGCGATGGTGGAGAAACAGGACACGTGCTCGTGTTGAGTGTGGCTGTCGTAAGAGCAGCTGTCACGGTCATTGAGAGTAGTGGTAGATGCAGCAGTGGTAAGAGTAGTTGTAGCATCAAGGAGGGGAGGGAGGGAGACTGAAGATGGGGAGCTAGCTTCTGAGTAGAGATTGATAGTGGTGTTGAAGCGGTTTTTCTTGGGGGCGCTTCCGCTTCCGCCACTCGCAGCTCCACTACAGCTCTTCTGAAAGACTCGAGAGATTACCCACTCGTCCTGACAAGGATTGAAGTTTGAAAATGTAAAATGCCATCATTGCATGTAGTTGAAATAGTGCAAAACATCATACAAATATAGATATGATCACTACTTGCAAGAGGTCTCAAAATGGAAGCACTTGGATCACGTTATTTGTTAGCCAAAAGACAATTATCATGACTACAAGGGAATATGCGAACACTTTCGACCACATAATATCAGATGCCTATGATTTTCCTTGTGAGGTAAACAAGAATATATGATGGTTGTTCAAATTTGAAGTTCAAAACAAGATCACTTAGTCAAGCGTGTGGGAAATGTAAACCTAAACCAGCATGCAAGTCGTACACAAACTATGCAACTAAATGACTGAATAGTAATCAGTAGCCTCTGGAATAATGACAAGAATAATGATGCCGAAATGCTGTGATCTGTCTAAATCCCAATAAAGATGAATATTGAGTACTTTCTGCTAGATGAAAATAGCTACAGACCCTTTATTGTAGAGACCATAACTACCATAAAATTATTTGCTAGAGTAATGCTTGAATAATTTGCTTTTCCAAAAAAATCTAGGAGCAAGTAGAAACATCATGTCCTCCATGACATTCAATCATATAATCAAACTTGTCGCCAAAGCAACTACAAAACCTAAACTCTTTCTTCGATGCACTACCGCAACCCTAATCATGAAATATGGCACCTAAGACTGAGGTATCTAGCTAGTAGTACTCGTATAATAGCACCCAGAAACATGTATTATACCCTAGAAAACAGGCTTATCTTACATGGCTTGAATAGAGAACAAGGTAACACAAAACACGAGTGCTCTTTTATACCTTAGAGCACCTAGAGAGGTAGTGGTAAGCAAATTTGCCTTCAAGGCGATACTCATGCATAACCCAGTTACTTTTCTCTCCTTTAGGAGCCCTCCCTCTGTAGAACACCAGTGTCTTCTTCATTCCCACAAGTGCACCGGTCTTTGAGCTATAAATCTCCCTATCTTTCCCCGTAGCCTTCCAATAACCAGCTTCAGTGGCTCTATTAGTTCTCAGCCCAGTTGGGTACTTTCTATCTCTCAAGTTAAAGAAGTACCACTCTTTCTCTCCCATTTTAGCTTTCCCTGCCACCACAAATCACAAGGAAACCAAAAGTTAACAGCTTTTTGTGTAAAATTGAAAGAATTAGAGAAGATAATGCATCTTAATTACCTGGAAGTTCCCATGGCTCACACTTATTGAGGTCAACTTCAGCGATGGCCCTACCGGTGAAGTTGCTGTCCAGAACCTTCTTTAGGAGATAGTAGGTGATAAGCTCTTCATCAGTTGGGTGAAACCTAAATCCAGGAGGCAAATGGGCATCACCATTGTCGAAGTGGTGGTAGCTCTCCATTGAAAAACAAAAACAGAAGTCAACAAATTGACAAAACAGAAGTCGATCCAAAGCTCAATAGAAAACCCAAGAAAGAAAGAAATTGCTGAGGTTCCAAGCTTCTTCAAGGATCTATCAAAACCCACATCGTAAAACGTCTAAACAATGCAAGGCTGTGTTGGTTACTGCAAGGGATGAACAGGATTTGTTACTCAGTTGTCTAATTTATGAGACCATGGCTAGTTATAAGACCTGAGAGAGCGAGTGGAAGCGTGTGTGGGTTTATAAGGGGTGGTCTCGTGGGGGATGTGATGAAAGGAGGGGGCAGGGTGAAAAAGGCGAAATAATAGTGTGAGAGAAAGTATGATCTAGCTGGCCTTGGAAAATCTCTCTGTGTTTTCTCTGCTCTGTCCTCTTCTGTCTCTCTCTCTTACTGTCTATAGGAGCTATGGATATGATAAGGTCCATAGGAGAGAGGGGGAGGGTGATGTATGTGTCTGAGGAGTGGGCTGTGGGGTTCTGTTTAAGAGTATGCGTGCGTGCGTGAGAAGTGTGCAGGTATTCTCTGTCAGTGAAGAAAATGAAGGGAGGGAACAGAAAGTAGTTTTTATGAGAGAGGTCCTTTGGAAAAAAACAAACAATTTTTTAAAAAAAGAAAAAAAGAGAGAGAAGATTTTCACCATGAATCGATAAAGCTGTTTCATATCTCCTCTGTCAGCGGAGTACATAGATTAAATTATCAATCTTGACAGAGACATTGTAACACACGCCATCGCTCTTTCTCCTCCAATCTCTTCAATCGCCTTTCTTTCTTCACTTTTCTCTTCTTTTGTTTAGTTTTTGTGCTTTATGGGATTCACTGGTAAAATGTTTACCATCTGATCTTTGGGATTTTTCTGTTTCGCTGTTGTTGATTTATGGTGATCTTATTGAGCTCCAGATGAAGAGGATGCCCATGTAATTGGCTCGTTCTGTCTGCACTGCAAAGTTGCAAAAAAACCATACCTCTAATGACGTGGATTTTCTGCCCTCACAGTTTTAGCTTTTTGCTAGTTAGGCATGCACCATTACATTTTCATGCTAATAAGGTACGATCACAGCTTTGACACATAGGACAAAAAGATTGCCCCAGGAGTGGTAGCTAAAAGTAAGGTGGCAAAATAGCCTTTTCCACTCTTAACCCCCCCCTCCCCCTCCCCCTCGTTCTATCTAGGCTTTTCTAGCCTTCTGCAGCTATTAAACTGTTGGCTTCAGGTGATGTAATATTTCTTAGTGTTTTGTTTTTTACAAATTGAGAACGTCGGAAATGTTGTGGCCGCGGAAATATGAGTGTCCATTTGAGGCTATTTTGGGATATTACATTGAGAAAAATAAAAAAAAAGTTTTGATGAAGCATTGTAATCATAGTTTTAAAAAATAATCAGGCCTCACAGCTTAATTAATTTGGTTAAAATTTTTATTATAACTTATTTATTTTTTTATTAAAATAATATTATTTTAAAAATTTTTTAAATAAAAATTGCCCCAACTAATCTGGTAACTCAATTAAAATTCAAAATTTAGACTTTAGATTGAATTGCCACTCAATCAAGTTTAAAAATTATAATGAGAATTATAAATTTTTCATGTTTGGTATTCCTTACATGTTATATTTAATTGTTATTGTATTTTTAAAATTGACATGTAATTAATATGGTGTGTTGCGACGATAGAGGTGGTAGTAATTAAAAAATATAATATTAATTAAATATTATAATTTTAAATTATGATATCAATTAATTTTTAATAATTATTTTAACAGTCATCTCGTGAAAATATAGTATCAAAATTTCCCAGTCTTCAGCATATTTTGAAGAGTTGTTATGAGATTTATTATTGAATTACATTATGACTCCAAATTCAGTGGTTATTTAAACAAATGGTTAAAAATCTATTTGAAAAGGCTGCTATATAACAAGATTATTTTGATAAAATAACAGCAAATATATTGAATTATTATTAAATACTCTAACAACACATCATATAGTGTATAAATACATTAACTTAATTGTATTTTTAAAGTTACAATTAGATAATATAAATACATATAATTGCAAGAAAAGATTGTATTATCTACATATTAATAAGAGCTGAAGTGTAATCTCCATAGTCTAGGAATCTGAGGTCGACTTATATGAAAATACTCCTGAGATCATGAGTTATTTTTTCATGTTAACAACAACCGGTTAAAATATAAATAGTTATTTTAATTTTTTGTATTTATACTTGTAGAAGTAGCAAACATTCCCAACCTGTTTAGCTATATTCATGCATGTAAGACATTGATACATGTACAAGCATACCAAGACAACAAATCCCCAGCTATATGTGGGAATCACATCAAAATCTTCTAGAAGCGTTAGATAAATCAAATGCATATATTTTTTTTATAAGGTCTATAAATAATAAATTATCAAACAGATGCACTATATATGCTCTGACATACCTATATAACATATTCAAATGATCAAATTAATTGACATATTCAAGTCATAATTTAATGCATACCTCAACAAAAGTTCCTCATCACCATCACCCGGTGATGTGGTAAATGTCTTTTTAATCAATTTATGATGTGTGCTATCCCCTTCAATTCACTTCAATTTAGTAGAAAGGAATGTCAATCTAAATGCATGCTCGTATAACGTAACAAAATTACACATCCAAGTAGATATGATTGTTTGTACATTAATAGAAAATCCATGTAAAACTGTAACATCCTGTTATGTCTTTTTCTCATGGCTAAGGTGAAATTTATGAGTCTCACAGCTTCATCGCTCAATTAGTATATAGATTAACTGTGGTTAAGCTTGATGTGCCCTATATAACTGATATTTAAAAAATCAGCCCGAAACACTTAAAGTTAAACCCTTTCATATAATTTTATTTGCTTATGTGTCCAAAAATAAATTGTAAATTCATCCTGCATAATAATTTAAAATATAAGTACATAAGTACATAAATATTAATGAAATTATTAATTAAAGTTAAATACACTTAAAATCCCGATAACAATATCATTCGATTAATGTCTACATTGCAACCATAGGACAAAAATGTAGTGGGCTTAAGAGGCATGCGTTATGACTCAAACTATCGATAAATATAATCATGCACTTTAGGAATGTCAACCTTATAATGTGTTTAGCCACCATGAGAAGAAGATTTGCCACCTCGCATGCTCGACATCATATGTAATAGTACTTGTGTTTAATATGAATTTTGACAAGTTTAATATGCTTTTAAAAAATACCATAATATATTTTAAAAAATAATTGTATTGTTCAATATAAGTAGTTGAATAAGGCATGTTTTTCTATTATTGCACATACCTTATCTATAATGTGCATAAACCTCGTTTGCATCCATTTGGTTGTGCAAATAAGCAGACATTCGTTAACTATGTCTAGTTTTCCTTTTAGATGAGTCTGCTTCAATCTAGGGTCCATTATAATCACTTCATTCTAACTTATCTAGTAATGGACAAAATGACATACCATATGCTGATTTGTAGTTGCAAATCATCTATTAATCATCACTAAACTATATAAACTATAAGTGATTCTCAACGCAACATGCAAGAATATGGAACATGGATGGTGAAATGTTTGTCATTTATCATATGTAAGTTTTATCATTCAATCTGATTGTCTATTTTATTTCTTTGACAACACCTGGTTTAACTGGGATGTTGACCTGTAACACTTGTTGTTCGGAGTTGAACAACATTACAATATGATCTCTTGATTTATCTCTATTTATTGTCAATTCCACTTGAATTATTGGAGGCCAAATTATCCCACATTGAATAATAGCATTTGCTTTATTGTCAATTCTCTTAATCTATCTTTGTTTCATTTTCACCTAATAACTAATATATTTGTAAAATGTCAATTGCACTAGAGTATAAACATGTATTGCATAAGTAATTTTTTTAGAACATGATTAAATAATTTTAAAATATTTGTTGTCATATTATCATACTAATGATCATCATTACACAGTGCCTTCTTTTCTTTTGGTTCCTGATCAAGCCTTTCTTGATAAGCTGGGTCCAACTTACATATTCTTTTATATTATAAATTGGATTTACATCTTGACGGTTCATAACACATCCTTATAAAATTGTTTTTATAAATAGGTCTTTGAATGTATTATTGAAGTTGCTAATAAAATATCAGGTATAACACTAATGGTATCCAATAGGTTCACATTCAATTTCTTTTACTTCATTCTTAATGCATGTGTGTCTATATGATATTATACATATATTTATTCTATCACTAGTAACGTATCTCTATAAGCAAAGTAAAACACCATCTCTAATTGTAATTATTTTCTTCATCAACAATTACAAAAGCTAAAAGAAATATCCATTATTTGAATTAAAAACAACTATAATAAGTAATTTTCCATCATATCATCCATACAAATATATACCATCAATATTGATTAGTGGCCTATAGTATTTGTAACTTTCAATACATAGTTCAAATGACCAAAAAATCTTTTAGATACTATTGTACTATTATTAAGATTTCCTTTATTCTTCTAATCAACAACCATTCTAGATTTGATTCTTTTATTTCCAACAACAATCTTGATGTTTTTTTTTTTCAAATGACTCCTCATGTGAACTAAACAAATACACAAATACCTTTTACTTTGCAACTCAAGCTATATCATATGATATTTTATACTTGTAATACAATTCTATTTCACTATGGATGCTTGCAACTGTCATTGAAAATATAATTCATCACAAAAGTTGATACAATGTTAACAATAAAATTTGCATCAAATTGATGATGGTCTTTTTAGATAAAGGTTGAGTATAAGTGTATGGCCTTTTTAGCTTTTATATCTTAAATGAGTTTGACCTTTTATGGTATCACCTATATAAATACCATTTATATTCTAGTGCTTTCATATGTTGTAGTTGAACAAAGATCGAGGTTGATTGTTGAACTCGATATTCAATCGAATATGTAATGTGTTACCATTTAACTACATTAGCTAAATCATTTTTACTAATGAATGTTTGTCCAACCTCTAAATCATAACCTTTTAGCAAACAATTATGATAATGTCTAATCATGGGAAATAACAAATATAGACCCAATAAAGTCTCTAAATTTAGTAACAAGAGATATTATTTAATCATCAACATTTATCATCATATTCGAGGTCTAATGTCTCATCATTTTTATTGTTATTAGGCTTATAATAGTCAAATATATAGTGATGAACAAATGAATTGTCAAGCATAGATTCATCACTCATTTGTAGTAAATCATCTGATAATGAATTAGTGTTTCATTTACTAACTAACCTTGAAAGACAGGCAGATTGTGATGGCTTATACCTATTCGACTAGAAGTTGGGATACATAATGAATCTGGTTGACTACTCATATACAATATCATTATGTTTAATTCACTTTGGATGAAAATAATCCATCATTGTCTTAAAATTGCCAACATATACAATCGGTACAAGATACCACTAGTATTCTACCAAAGTCCATGACATATAGTTTTTTTTTTTTTA